TACTTTATTTCGGCTTGACAGGCGCGACAAACCCGGAGGTGGTGTATGTTTGTATGTTAATAACTCACTGTTTAGTCACCTACGTCCCGACTTAACAGCCGATGGCGTTGAATGCATTTGGGTAGAGATCAAAGCTCACCCACAACCTCTTCTTGTCGGGTGTATTTACCGCCCACCGAGTCAGTCACTAGCTTACTGGCAGACTTTCGAGGCCATGTTACACAAGGCATCGGGAGAAGCCAAGAATATTCTGCTTTGTGGTGACTTTAATGTTGATCTGGTCAGTCAATCTCCCACATCCCAGCATGCTTCCTTGCATGACATCACAACCAGCTTAGGCCTGCATCAACTTGTAAAATCTCCAACACGCATAACGCTGCAAGGGAGCTGCACTCTATTAGATCATGTCTATAGTACAGCTCAAATCATATCCCCGCCTGATGTGTGTCCAGTTCCGTTCAGCGACCACTGTGCTATTGCAACCAAGATTTGTGTTAAACCAGTGCCGACAGCATTGCCTTCTCAGCGACTTTATCGAAACTTCAAGAGAATGGACTTGGCATCACTTCGTATGGATATATCTTGCGCCAACCTCTGTGAACTTCGTGGGTCCTGCGATGACATGTGGCAACAGTGGCTGACTAAGGTTGTGCCCATTCTTGATGCACATGCTCCATTGCGCCACGCGTCTTCCCGACCAAGACAGCATTCACCATGGGTCAATGAACATTTGTTCCTGTTGATACGACGACGTAACCACGCTCATCGGAAATGGCTGCAATCTAAGTGCCAGACTGATTACGATGCGTTTAAAGAAGCCAGGCGTATCGTGACTCGTATGAACCGTGAATTGAAGACGAATTTTTTTCAGTCTAAGTTCACCAGTGTTCAAGGTAATCCCAGGAAAACGTGGAAGGTTTTGAACGAGTTATCCGGAAGACAACGTGTTCAATCCGTTCCACAATGCTCTGCAAGCAACATTGGGTGTGTATTTGCTGATGTTGTCAGTGATCAACAACGAGCACCTGAACTGTGTCTTCCACAGGGCCCAGTGGGACCTAAAGGTTTTACATCCTTCAGTTCGGTGTCAATAGGTTGTGTGCGTAAACTGTTGGGTTCCTTGGACACCAGCAAAGCGACAGGCAGTGATGGAATACCCGCATTTCTTCTGAAGTCCTGCGCTGATTTGCTAGCTCCCTCCTTAACATTGATATTTAATGCATCTCTTGCTGTTGGTTCTGTGCCGGACGGCATGAAGTTGGCACATGTCACGCCGGTATTCAAGGCTGGAAATCCTCAAGATCCGGGAAATTATCGCCCTGTGTCTCTCCTGCCAATTGTGTCGAAGCTGTTAGAACGAATTGTCCATAGACAACTATCCTCATTTCTGGACAAGGAGAATTTGTACCCTCCCTGTCAGTTTGGCTTTAGACGTCAACATTCAACGGAAGACGCTCTAGTTTTCGTCACGGACACGTTTGTTCGCGCTCGCGATGCCGGACAAATTACTGGTGCTGTGCTCGTGGATATGTCCAAAGCATTTGACAAGGTCAGGCACCAAGTGCTCATTAATGATTTGTTTGAGCTTGGCATATCTGGTTCAGCATTAGTTTGGTTTGCCGACTATTTGTCCAATCGTCGCCAAATAGTGCACATTGCTGAGAACTATAGCCCTCCTTTCCCCTGCATGTGTGGCGTTCCCCAGGGCTCTGTTCTTGGTCCGCTGCTTTTTGTACTCTATGTTCGTTCGATCCAGTCCATTGTCTCCGAGTTTTGTGTGAAAGTTATTCAATTTGCTGACGATATTCTATTGTATGTTTGCGGTACGCAGAAGAATGCGCTTAGCAACTCCCTGTCTGCAGCTGTCTCAGCCATTAGTACCTGGCTGTCAAACCGCAATTTAATTCTAAATGCTCGGAAGACACAAGTGCTCTTCCTGTCTACGCCACATATTACTGACCACCAATTTGCAGTCTACTGCCATGGAGTGCAGCTCAAGCAAGTGACATGTGCAAAGTACCTTGGAATACATTTGGACCAGGATCTTTCTTGGAGCACTCAAGTTGATTCTATGGTCTCCAAACTAGCCAGTAAAATTGGTATTCTGTTCCGAAATCGACACAATATTCCGCTGACTTGCCGAGAAACCTTCGTAAAGTGCCTAGTGTTGCCAGATTTTCTATATGCATCAAATTGTTTTTCTGCTGGCCTTTCCTTAACCCAGTTAGGTAGGCTTGAACGAATGCTAAAGCGAGCTTTGCGTTCAGTGTACGATACTGGTTTTTGTAGCCCATCAAGCCCTTTATTTGCGAGACTTGGTCTAGATCGTTTGGCAACCATGTATTGCAAGAAATTACTGTATCTGACGTGGCGCTGTTTGGAAGGCCGCTGTAGTGTCACATTAAGTCAAATGTTCGAGCGTTTAAATAATGGTCTTGCAACGCGCAGCCTTGTATCACGCACTCTTAAGTTGCCCATGCTCAGAACTGCCTTTGCCCGTCATGGCGCTTCCTTCCAATGTGCTAAGCTGTGGAATGATTTGCACCCTCTAGCTCGCTGTGTGGATAACTCCGCCCGTTTTAAGAAACTGTTACCCCAATGCCTTGCTTTTTCACGCTAGTAATTATGACTTTCAGCTATGCAAAATGCGAACATGATCACCTATCCAATACCGGTAGTCTATTATTATATTAATTATTCATATCTTTTGCATCTTTCCCTCGAGTGGGTCTATTGTTATTAGGCAATTGTCTGTTATAGTCACCACTATAAATAAAAATCCAATCCAATCCAATCCAAACCCAGGGCCAGGATTTAGCACTACAGTCGTCCGTGATATCTCCCTGCACGCTATGACTCCCTGATGGATACCTTGCATGGATCAACTGCTAGTAAAAATTGCAGGTGTGTGTGTTTGTATGTGTGTGTGTGTGTGTGTGTGTGTGTGTGTGTGTGTGTGTGTGTGTGTGTGTGTGTGTGTGTGTGTGTTGTAACTTGCTTTTCTCTACCTGCTCCCAGTCCCGTGCCATCTCCACACTTATACAAAGGGACGACGATAACTACATTTAGAGGACTGTTTATTGACACGACGAAGAAACACAACTAGACATGACGAACTCAAGACGAAGACATCATGAACTCAAGACGAAGACATCATGAACTCGAGACGAAGACTGCTTTTTTACACCACAGCAACACGCGCATGCACCAACATGACGTACACACGACGTACACAAAATAACGTACTACAACATGTGTGTGTGTGTGTGTGTGTGTGTGTGTGTGCGTGTGCGTGACATGATGACATGATGGCATGTAGACAGACAGTGGCAGGTAACTTGTTCCTTACCCGCCACATCGAGTGCAGGAAGGTAGTCAGACTGCTGGAACGTGCCGTCATAATCCGACTGATAGCCACCCTCCATGAACGCAGCCGAGTTTGCCGGCTCCAAAGCACCGCTGCCGCTGCCATCATCTCGACTGGCAAGAGGGAAAGCAGGAGTAGAAGAAGTAGCAGCAGCGTGTGTGCTGTGAGCGTATGATGGCATCATGGCCGAGGAGTCAGGTACATAGTCATCTGGCACTCTCCGCCACACGGATGGGATCAGGTCAAGACGACTCAGCATCTTGTTGAAGTCCATTCTCATAGCTCGTCCCATGCCTGCAAACTCAGTGTACGCCTTTACATGGAGGTGCAGAAAAAGGGACACAGGAGGAGGAGACAAAACGGATATGAAACACTGGTGGAAAGAACCGTACCAAGCTGTAGTTTATGCTCATGCAAAGCATACCACACTACCATATTTCACCTTGACACGGCAGCAAGATCCAGACTGGGCTTCTACTAGAGATTGGGCTTATGATTTTTAAACCATCTGTTTACATGTACATTGATCATCATTTTATCATTACACCAGTAGCAGTAGCACAAAGCTTCCCACCAGGTATCGTGAATGCAGGTTTGTACTTCCTGGTACACGGAGTCTGTTCTTTTTACCTCGGAGATCACAGACTTTTGCCACAACATTAGGGTGTGTGACACTTAATGATGTCAAACATGCATGGACAAGATCCATACAGTTCTCCATTATAAGCCCTGCGCATATACAATGTACTGGAGACTGCGCTTGTATATCTTGGAAGCCCTCTTGGAGTGCGCTCATAATAGAGACTGGGCTTCTACAAGAGACTGCGCATGTAATAGAGATAATACAGTAGCTATGCACACTTGATACAGTAGATATGCACACTTGCTTAGGAACAGAATACATACGGGATTATAGCGGTCGCAATTCTGAAATACTTGATACATCGTTTCAACAAAGTCATCGACGGAATGAAACTCGCCATAGCGTAGCTTTGCATGGATAGTTTCAAAGTCCATGGGGTAAGGAACTTTCTCCAAATAGAGCGGTGCCTGGAGAATGAAGAACAACACAACAAGAACAACAGCATTCAAGTCAGGTCACACTTATCATGCCAAGAACCCACATGTATAGTACAAGCAAGACTTGCCAAGAGTACATGAAAACCAGAGTGTGCAGCTCGGGGCATTTTCTACTATGGGTGTCTGTCAAGCCGGAATTCCGTGATTACATCATATTTGGCGCAGGTCTGAGGCGGGAAGTGGCGTAGTGCGTACAACTGAGCTGCAGTTGCGCAGAAAGAGACCTGCTTGAATCCTGCTTGTACGCACTACATCACTAAAATGATGTAATCACGGAATTCCGCCATGACAGCAACCCATCCGAGCTGCACACTCTGGTTTTCATGTACTCCTGCTACAAGTAGTACCAGAATGGCACCAATAGTCGCTATGGCAACAAGAAAGCAAGCCATTTCAATTGACATTGGTGAAGCCTGAACATGTCTAACTTAATGGTACAGCAGCAGCAGCAGCAGCACTACAGTAGAGAGGCGCCAGCAAAGACGATGGACGTCGACAACAATTACAACGGGAAGAGTGATGTCAGCAGCAGCAGCAGCAGCAGCAGCAGCAGCAGCAGCAGCAGCAGAAACCACAGCAGCAGCAACCACGGCAGCATCAGCAGCATCAGCAGCAACAGCAGCAGCAGCAGCAACCACAGCACCGACTACCGGTAGCTGGAGCAAGAAGAGCAGCTAAAGCCGCGACTAGAAACGATGACGACGACAACCACCGCAACCGCAGCTGTAGAAGCCGTGACGATGACAAACACAACTACAACAGCAGTAGAAGTGCCAGCAACAATGACTACACCCGCCACAACAACAACACCAGCAGCAGCATTAGCAGCAACATTAGCAGCAGCATTAGCAGCAACATTAGCAGCAGCATTAGCAGTAATGATGATGACAGCCACCGCCACCGCCACCATCACCACCACCACCACGAATATTTGAACTGAAAATTTTCAGTTCGCTGGCCACACGCAGGCAGCCCACAGGCACGGTGCTAGTCAGGGAGTCGTCAAATATTTGAATACTCCCTGCTGCTAGTCTGTACAAGTGTGACATTCGTGCATCAGCGCTGTTATGTGAAGGGTAGAATGATGACTAGAATCTACACACTCCGCACAAGTAAGTCGTGCCTCGAGTCCTTGACTGCAGCTGCTGAGGGCATCCTCTGTGTAACTGATCACAGGAAGTGAACCCACACGGACTTGTCACGTCTAGTTTTGCTGTGCTGTTACAACTAGGATTCAACACGGGCGCTAGACACCAACACGGGGAGTCGCAATGTGACGAGTTATGAAGAATGTTCGTTCGTTCGTTCGTTAGTGTCAAGAACGTTTGAGTACTGAGAAATTGTGTCCGTTTAAGCACTAACATGACCTACAGTGCATGTACGCGCCAAAATCAGCAAGGGCACCGGCCCCGGTCATCCCATCGAATTTCAATGTCCAGGACGGTAGACTGAGGGCATACCTATGTAGCATGTACAGTGAGTATAGCTGGACGGACATACACATGTACAGCGAATAGTGCAGTGAGCATATCATATTATTACCGTGCTCAAGTCAACCGGTCCTCGGAAGATGGATCCGTTTCCATTCTCTTTCATTCTTCTCACACATACTTCACATTTCTGCATCCAAACAAAACACCAAGGGGAACACAACGTATATATCAGTCGACTTCTGATCTGCCAAGCACCAATGTGCCATCATAGAACTACCGGTGGTTTCCTATAACATAAGTGCAACAACAGTAACACCATACACAGATAACACCATACACAGGTAACACCATACAGGTAACACCATACAGATAACACATCATTTTCGAATTGTTTTACCCTCAGACTAAAATGATAATCAGACTGGTAAGGTCCGTTGCACACTACGTTTAAGAGTCTACGAGCGCGGTCCAGTATAAGTTGCTCATGAGTTTTGTTCAGTGCACACTGCACATAGCTCACTTGTTGTTTACGTGAATCGTCATGACAACGAGGATGCACAGCAATTTTTGCTGTCCTTTTGTGCTATTCATGACCTTCGACCTTTGTACTTACTTAGTCTTTGGCGGACTGGCGCACCCTGCGCATGCGATGGAGTCAGTGGTTTACTTACTGCTTTTTTCTTCAGTTCAAACCTTGATTTTGTCGAGGAGATCGAGAAAGAAGTCGTGCACACACCTGAAGCAATGAATATCTGGGATGACGGTAGAAGGCCAGTGCTGCCAACCAATTGGGTCTGTTTTGCGTACTGCGACTTCTGATTTTCCGTATTTGCAGCGTTTTTCCGTACTACCAATGAAATGCCTTGTGCATTGCTTCTATCAGGGAGTATTGTACTACTCCCTGGCTTGTATTGTGCTTTTTTGACACTCGCATTCTTGTCGGTGGCAAAATTTGCTAGTGCAAAACATGTGTGACTGGTACCGAGACGTGTTATTTTGTGCTACATCTAGTCGAAGCATGGCAGACTCGCTTTGGCACAGGGATATTCATCGCTCAGTTGGCGCTTGCCGTGCTTCTACATACATACCTGTAGCTAGTAGTAGTAGAATTTATTATTTTGATAGGGAAGGCCCTACAGACGTTGCCGTCTTGTTACAGGGAACCCTAAGTGCTCTTTACAGAGCGGAACAAAAACGGATAGATGCTCAACCTGACGACACGAGACAGGCAGAGAATTCCACCTATCAGCGCCAAGGAAAGAAATACAGAACATGCCATATCTAGTGGTAGCAGCGGGCAAAGAAAGTGAAGAGAACGATTGCCCTCTAGTGCGTCTCTAGCTGATCGATCCTATACAATTTTCCGTACCATTTTTGCTCAAATTCCTCACTGCGGACGAAGGAGTGATTTTCCGTACAAATACGGAAAATACGGAAGGTTGGCAGCACTGGAAGGCGGAAGGTGGCCATCGCCACTGTGTCCTTGTTCAAAAGCTTTCAAGACCAGCAAAGCGATTGTATTGCAGATGCCAGCTCCCCGCTCCAAGTCATTGCTTTAGAAGATTCAGGAATGTTTACTCACCCGGAGAAGTAAAGCTGCCAAACAAGCAAAAAGCAGGATATAAGCTGCTTTCTACAGGGGTGCGCGACTTGCTGAAAAGGAAAAAGCAATTTCTTGATTTTCCCGCCACATTCCTTTGATTTCCATGGGAACATACAAGTATGCGCAGCTTATATGAGTTTTTGTACGTAGTGTGCAACGGACCTAAAGTATGTAAGACTGGTTTGCTGAATAGTGCGGTGGTTTCAAATAAATCACATGACCATAAGGGACAGCCATGCTAGTTCCAACCCCACACAACTCCTGCATCTATGGGTCACATGATGTCGGTGGCCATGTTGGTTCCACTGTCCACATGCCATGATCACTTTCTACACAAGTCAAGTCACATGACAAACTGATGTGTGAAGTCACACTACAGTCTACACAGTACACTGGTAGGTAGTGACTAAGTCAGAGTGTTCAGGCATGCCGCCGCCGCCGTTAGAAAGTCAAGTCAGAACACCTTCATACACCACTCACAGCTACTATATCCCTTGGTAGGTGTTGAGTTGCTATAGCTGCAAAACAAAGTGACGCATACACACACAAGTACTTTTGTGGATATTGAAATCCATTAAGAAGTCAAGCGGCCATGGGGCGCTGGCCGTTTAGCTGTCAATGCTGCTGCATGCATGCTGGTCCCTGCTGCATGCATGCTGGTCCCTGCTGCATGCATGCTGGTCCCTGCTGCATGCATGATGGTCCCTGCTGCATGCATGATGGTCCCTGCTGCATGCATGATGGTCCCTGCTGCATGCATCAGTGATGGTCCCTGCTGCATGCATGATGATCCCTGCTGCATGCATGATGGTCCCTGCTGCATGCATGGTGGTCCATGCTGCATGCATGCTGGTCCATGCTGCCTGCATGATGGTCCCTGCTGCCTGCATGATGGTCCCTGCTGCATGCACGATGGTCCCTGCTGCATGCATGATGGTCCCTGCTGCATGCTTGATGGTCCCTGCTGCATGCATGATGGTCCCTGCTGCATGCATGATGGTCCCTGCTGCATGCATGATGGTCCCTGCTGCCTGCATGATGGTCCATGCTGCATGCATGATGGTCCCTGCTGCCTGCATGATGGTCCCTGCTGCACTGCATGCTCGAGTCCCATTTTTAGTATTTTTTTAACAGTTTGAAAGTGCGTGTACGTGCTAAGCCGACCTCGGTCATTACACCGGATTTTTATGTCCACAACAGACTAATATGTGAACACATGCACATATGTACACAGCATGCACGCACGCACGCACACACACACACAAACACACACAAACACACACATGTACGCTTTACATGAACATACACACACACACACACACACACACATGCCATATCTGCGCACACACATGCATGCACACAGTCAAACACAAATACACACACACACACACACACACACACCTCAGACCTCAGACCTGCCCATCGCAGAAGCGATGATAGCGAACAGCTATGTTAGACATAGCAACTTGTGCTGGGATTACACCATTCAACAGCTTGCAAGGCTGATGAATTGACCGCCACTAATTTTAGCCTGGTATCCACCACACAGCTGATTGAAGTGGCTTTTTCTGGCCAGTGAATCCCTATTTTTCATTTTTTTCATTTTTTTACACACACGCCACACCACATACGCACACACACACACACACACACACACACACACACACAAACACACACAGGTACGCTTTACATGAACATACACACACACACACATGCCATATCTGCGCACACACATGCATGCACACAGTCAAACACAAATACACACACACACACACACACACACACACACACACACACACACACACACACACACACACACACACACCTCAGACCTCAGACCTGCCCATCGCAGAAGCGATGATAGCGAACAGCTACAGAGGTCTAGCCAGGATTTTATGCCAGCCGGCCAACGTTCTAGTTAAAATGCATCGTTATGGGGGCTGCGCCCCCAGACCCCCGCCATCAGTCACGTATCCACACAGACACACACACACACACACACACACACACACACACACACACGCACACACACACACACCACTACAAATCTTTCATTGCAGCTTGCATCTCCTTTCGCTTCGTCCAATTATGGGCATTCATCAGGCAGTTGTGAAAATGTGATTATAGGTAAATTAACAAAATATGAAAAAGGAAGCAAACAGGTACATGAGCATGGATCATGTGTTCACCAAGGTCATGATTGTCTGCATGCAGTGTACATTGGTCATCTGACAAGACCCAGTCTAGCCACAGCCCTGTACACCACCATAACTAAAGAAGCAGCGAACCATGACCCAACCTGTTACATTTTACTGACGTACTCAAGTGCATACTCAAGGATTTTGAGTGAAGAGCTAGCACTGAGCCTGAGTAGCCAGTGCTACGTACTGTACTGTACATACCTATGCCTAGGATGTGGGTTGTACTCCACCATATGGACTCAAGTGCTAGTGCAGTGCACTACAGTCTACATGGGGGTGACTGCAGCCGGCCAAAATTACCCTTGGAGCTGTCTCAGCCGGCAGGTCGCCCTCCCAGCCGGCATTCTGCCGGCTGAGCCGGCTTTGGCTAGATCACTGAGCTATGTTAGACATAGCAACTTGTGCTGGGATTACACTATTCAACAGCTTACAAAGCTGATGAATTGACCGCCACTAATTTTAGCCTGGTATCCACCACACAGCTGATTGAAGTGGCTTTTTCTGGCCAGTGAATCCCTCTTATTTAATAGCTTTTTTAATTTTTTCCATTTTTTTATTTATTATATTTTTACATACACACGCCACACCACATACTCCGGCATACACTGGCTGTTAGTAACCACCCAGGAGAATGAAAGAAGAGCTAGGAGAATGAGAAAGAGAAGAAAGACGCGTGCGACCATAATCGTCGAGAATTGAACCCGCAACCTCTCGATTGGAAATCGACTGCACATACCACTGCACCATATGGGACACACACACACACACACACACACACACACACACACACACACACACACACACACACAGCAAAAATGCCCAAAGAGTTAGTAGAGTAGGCCAGGCTCAGTGACCAGGACAATGCAAAAAATAACAGTCACAACCTATTACAATGTTGTGTGTGTGTGTGTGTGTGTGTGTGTGCGTGTGTGTGTGCGCGCGCGCGTGTGCGTGTTCGTGTGTGTGTGTGGTATGTGCATGCATATGCATGTGGGTCTTACCTGCATCCCAATCACTAGGAAAGGCGGCTGCCATGTCAGAGGAGGTATTTGCCCCATGCTTGCGCTGACTGACACATACCGGACAATACCACTTGCCTCTATATTATGGGTAAGCAAACAAGCAGCAGCAATAGTGGCGACAACAGCGGCAACGGCAGTGGAATCAGTGAAGGTGATCACATAAATTGCAATTCAATCGTAACCAAGGTAACCGGAATGAGAGCAGCAGAAATAGCACAGGCAGCAGTGACAAGGATCATCAGAAAAACATTACCGTGACAACATGGCCTAGCTAGATCACCGGAAGTTTCTTTAAAGCTTTGCTAACGCCGACTTAGATACTATGTAAACAAGCTGCTCATAATTATACTTATCAGCCTCTTTAAATCTAGGAAGGACCTCCAAGTTATTACCGTATGTCAGCGCCTTTAAAGGCATTGCCTTACATGCATATTTGAAACACCGCTGCTTTCTTAGATATTTTAGATGCAAAATTACTCACCCACGACGCCATGCCATAGAAGTCAAAGTCCACACAGAAATTTCAATCTAAACCCACCTGTTCACCCTACCTCCTGGGCTGTAAGTTTGTTAGTATAGTACTTATTCCCTCATTTTTACAAAACACATGTCAAATGTCATTTCATTTATAAAGCCCCTGGCTTCATAACCGAGACTGGCTCTATAATCGAATATAACTCCATGGCTTTAAAGGTGCGGACATACGGTAAGTTAAAAGAACTATAGTTTCACAGCCAATGGGAAAGTCAACAAGGATCAAGGCATGGATGCAGCTCCTCTGAAGCAGTGGGTGTGAGTTGATCGCACTCACCCAAGTGGTCAAAGACCAAAAAAACCCAATATCTTCATCAAGATTAGCCTGGTGGAGGGTCACAAGATTAGCCTGGTGGAGGGTCACAAGATTAGCCTGGTGGAGGGTCACAAGATTAGCCTGGTGGAGGGTCACAAGATTAGCCTGGTGGAGGGTCACAAGTACAAGTTCCCAATACACTGCCGGTAACTAGGAGTCGTAATATGGCCGAAAAATATATTCCTACTTGATAGGCAAGACTGGAACTGTGTACCCTCGGAAATCTATTCCACCTTGATAGGCAAGATTGAACCGTGTACCCTCAGTTGGGTCTGCGTTTCAACTGACCGCCTCAACCATACCAACTGCCCTAATTGTATAGCCAGCAAGGTCCTTCCTAGATTTGAAGAGGCTGACTAGTATAGGCAAGAGTACATAACCCCCAGAGTGCGCAAGTTCACTTATCAGGTCTGGGACGGCGAAATCCGTGTTGCACGTCATAATAATGATATCCTGAGTAGGGGAAGTGTGGACGTGGTGCGCTGCGTCGATGGAATGAGGCAAGTCCGACCCCAACAATGACGCACATCACGGATTACACCGTCCCACAACCCCATCCCAGTTGCACACTCTGGGGGGGGGGGGGGGGGGGGGGTATGTACTCTTGGTATAGGCCACTGTTATGGACATGGGTTTGTACACACAAAATCCAAATATACCTGGTGGTACGTAGTCTATACCGATTCTCTCTCTCTCTCTCTCTCTCTCTCTCTCTCTCTCTCTCTCTCTCTCTCTCTCTCTCTCTCTCTCTCTCTCTCTCTCTCTCTCTCTCTCTCTCTCTCTCTCTCTCTCTCTCTCTCTCTCTCTCTCTCTCTCTCTCTCTCTCTCTCTCTCTCTCTCTCTCTCGCTCTCTCTCTCTCTCTCTCTCTCTCTCTCTCTCTCTCTCTCTCTCTCTCTCTCTCTCTCTCTCTCTCTCTCTCTCTCTCTCTCTCTCTCTCTCTCAC